TATATATTTAATTTTTTTAAAAAAATATAGTCAATTTGGAATTGTTTCTTTTTACTTGGGCTTTTGTATTTGAGAATTCATAATAAGGCAAGATGCGCACACCGAGTTGTCCTTCACCTTGTTCTGATTAAATTGTTTAATTGAAGGTTTCTGTTTGGGTAGAAGAGGAGAAGGAGTGTATTAGTCCCAAATCAAAACCTTTAAATTTTAGCATTGAGGTTTTCATTTTAAAAAATATTAACATAGCCTCAGCCCCTATCCCTCCTCCTCAAGGACTGCAAAGCAAATGTAATGTTATGAAGACTTTTGAGCATTGTTGATGCTTGTCTTACAGAATTCCTGGCTCAGCTCTTTATGGACACAGGTTATGAAGAAGTGGTAAACGAGTATGTGTTTCGAGAGACGGTGAATAAAAAAGAAGGCCTGTGTGTGCCGAGAGTTTTCCTTCAGAGCAAATTTCTAAAGCCTCTTAAGAACCCATCTCCTGTGATCCTGGGCCTGGATCATAAGTCCTGACCTTTCATGAGATTGGCATTCATACCTCCCCTTGAAGAGGATAATTTAAAATCACTCTTTTGCCTGGGCGTGGTGGCTCATGCCTGTAATCCCAGCACTTCAGGAGGCCAAGGTTGGGGGATCACCTAAGGTCAGGAGTTCGAGACCAGCCTGACCAACATAGTGAAACCCCGTCTCTACTAAAAATACAAAAAAATTAGCTGGGCATGGTGGCGGGTGCCTGTAATCCCAGCTACTCAGGAGGCTGAGGCAGGAGAATCACTTGAACCTAAGAGGCGGAAGTTTGCAGTGAGCCGAGATCATGCCATCGCACTCCATGGGCAACAAGAGTGAGACCATGTTTCATAAATAAATAAAATCACTCTTTTTACTTTATATATTTTTTGAGGCAGGATCTTGTGGTACGCAGGTTGGAGTGCAGTGGTGTGATCACAGCTGATTGTAGCCTCCACGCCCCTGGGCTTAAGCAATCTTCCTGCCTCAGCCTCCTGAGTAGCTAGGACTACAGATGTGAGCCATCATGCCTGGCCCTTAATTTTTTTTGATGGGCATATAGAGTAGTACCTCTTTATCATGGTTTCATTTGCCACAATTTCAATTACCTGTTTTCAACTGCAGTCAGTTACTTTTCTTAAGATATTTTGAAAATATGTCTTAAGATATATTTTCAACTGTTTTCAACTGCAATCAGTTACTTTTGTTAAGATATTTTGAAAATATCTTAAGAAATAAGATATTTTTATTTGGGAGGCCGAGGCCAGCAGATCCCTTGAGACCAGGAGTTCAAGACCAGTGTGGGCAACATGGTGAAACCCTGTCTCTACAGAAATACAAAAATTAGCCAGGTGTGGTGGCATGTGCCTGTAGTCCCAGCTGGGGTGGGAGGTTGGCTTGAGCCTGGAAGGCGGAGGTTGCAGTAAGTTGAGATCACGCTACTGCAACTCCAGCCCGGGCGACAGAGCAAAAGTCTGTCTCAAAAAAAAAAAAAAATTGGAAAGACAGATCACATTCACATAACTTTTATTACAGTATATTGTTAAAATTGTTCTTTTTTTTTAGGGTTTGGTACCATCTTAGTTTCAGGCAACCACTGGGGGTCTTGAAACATACCACCCGCAGAAAAGGGGGGGACTACTATGTACTTTTTGTGTTAAAAAATAGAAAGTGTATGTGTGTGAGAGACATGTAAATAAAACTTCAAGGCCTGAAAAGTAGTGAAAGTTTTATAGAATAACATAGTTTAGCCATATTGTTCACTGTAAAATTCCGCAAAGAAAAGCCTAAGGACCCTGTAGCACGTAAAGAGATTCTTGTCATTACTCATGTGACTGTAGTGTTCCTCCAGGCAACATGTCAGACAACCATGGAGTAAAAATGAGGCCAAGTAGACTAAAATAAGACCCTCATATGTATTTCTAGCCTAAAGGATTGTTCTGTTTTCTTTTTCCAGTGTCATATTTGCCCGTTGGTCTCCCCTTTAGTTCATTTACGTATTTCTTCAAAACCAGTGTTCCACAAATACCACTTTTGCTCTATCTGTGCTCAGTAACCCTCCATGGCTCCCTACCTGATTATTGAGACCCTTTATCTCTGGGCCAGTTCCTTGTCACACTGTTTGCCCTGGGAGAGAGAGGGAATGGTCATCACCTGTCCTCCCCTCTGCCCCGTTTGTCCAGTGCTGTTTCTCTGAGAAGATGGCTGGTGTCTAGAGTTAGAATTTCAGAGTTGAGAGGGTCTTTAGAATGGACGTTCCAACTCCCTACTGGGAAATGAGGAAGCAGTAGCAAGGGGTAAATGATGAGTTCGAAATCACATAGCTAGTGTTGTGGAATATGGGGAAATCCCTAAATTGGTCTGCTGACCTGTTTCCCAATCATTGCCTTTTAATGACGTTTCCTTTATGAAGTAAAATCCAGGTGATTTTGTTCTGCTCCCAAGAGTTAAGCCTGTAAGCCTTTCTGCTCGCCTTTCTGCAGAATGTGAGAACACTGTCTTGAGTATGTGACTGGGCTGCACATGCAGCAGGCCTGGGCCCTTCAACTCCAACCACATCTGGAGGAGGGGTCCCAGTGTGAAGGGGTTGGATGATAGTCATAGTGGTTCCATACAATCAGAATAAATCCTCCTGGCTCCTGAAGAGAAGAGGGGCAGGCAGCAGGGCTCAATCTGTGCTTGCTGGGTGTTGTGATTCTGCCATCTGTTCTCAACTTCTTGGGAGGGGCTGATGGAACTTGTAAAGAAGGTAGACCTATAGGGGTCCTCATGGGCCTTCTCCCAGTGAGAGTCCAGCCCTGTCCAGAAGCAGCCTCAGGCTCCCCACTTTCAGTCCAGTGCTCTCTCCCAAAGCCCCCTCCACCAAATGAATCCCACAGCCAGCTACAGCCCCAGACGCTGCCCACTGCCCCCTCAGGGAAATCCTTTCAGTTGTGTCCCTACTAGGTCTGACCAATGTTTCTTGGATTTTAGTGGCTAAGCTGGATAAAGACAGGCCATTTAAAGTAGAAAAGTGAGAGCCTGGGTGATGTAGCAAGACCCCATCTCTATGCAAAAATAAGAAAATTAGCCGGGTGAGGTGGTATATGCCTGTAGTCCCAGCTACTTGGGAGACTGAGGTTGAAGGATTGCATGAGCGCAGGAGTTGGAGGCTGCAGCAATCGAGTGAGCCATTGTCATGCCACTGCATACTACAGCCTGGGTGCAGAGCGAGACCCCGTGTCCAACTGGGGGGGAAAAAAAAAAAGCAAGGAGCTGTGTAGTGTAGTAGGATAAGCCTGTGCTTTTGTTATCAGAAGTCATTTGGAATTTTGGCCTCATTCCTTAACCTGTTTGAACCTCCCATTCTTCATTTTTATGATGGGGATAACTACTAACTTAAAAGTATTCAGAGGATTAAAGGAAGTACATATATATGACACATAAGTATTTCCCTCAGTCTTCATTTTTTGAACATAGAAGTTTAACATGCATACAGAAAAGTGCACAAATCATAAGTATTTAGCTCACTGACATCACAGTGATGTATGACACATCCAGCATGACTGGCACCCCAGAACCCACCCCACCCCTGTGTCTCATTCTAGTCACTGTCCCCGCAAGGTATTCTCTATTCTGAAGTCTAACACCAGGGAGTAGTTTGAGTAGTTTTTCTTCTATTTTAAAAATTCTCCCCAAAAGAGTTTGAGGACAACTTACAAAAATACAAAAATTACACGATTTTAAGTAGGGAAATTGGGCTAACAGAAAAAAAAAGTTGAGGCCAGGAAAATAACCTTATCCACACAAACTGCATTACAACAGGTCTTTTACACTTAAGGATAAATAACAGATTTTGCTTCCTAGTGGTCAGCGTAAAGAAGGAAACAAGATCAAGTTCAGACTCCATGCAATAAACCTGAGGCAGCTACTCCTAATCTGGAGATCTAAGGAAACTTTCCCTCTAGTTCCCATAAATAGGACACAACAGCAAACTTAACAGCATTACCAGTAATAAAAATAAGTATCTAAGCATTGTTTCTGATAATATAGCTTAACATAGATATAACCCCCAAGGGACTATCAAATAAGTAGATGAAGAGGACTGAAAGGAGATGGTCTAGGTGGGTTTTAGAATCCCTAGAAGACTAACAGGCTGTTGGTCCTTCTGTCAGTTTTCCATCAATAGTATTCTCAGTGGAGGGTTTGTTGTGAATCTAGGAACCAGGAGGTCTAGGTTATTGTCCCTTAGAAGGGTAGCTATTGGGCAGACTGGCCAAGAGACAAGAATGACTTCAGAGAAAGCAAAACAGGTTGATGAAGGCCTCTTTGCCAGTGGTTGGCTGGGCGTATACCTGTGAATGGGGCCAGCAGTTTTCTCCAAACACAACTTGGAGTTGTGTCTGCCCACAGGAGTCATTAGGGCCCCAAATTCTAATTCCATAATCTAATTCCATGTATGTATATATATACATATATATATTAGATTACGTATATATATGTATATATACGTATATATATAACTAAGATTTATTTTTTCATGGGTGGGCCGGGGTTGGAAGTGGGCCAGGCAGCTGCCAACTTTAAGATATATTGATTGTAAAATGTACTTCTTATTAAATTAATGAGGTGACCCAGTCCATCAGTATTTTAACTATGAGTCAGTAGATTGGTTCATAAGCATTTTAAAGGCCAAACATAAAAATGGCTTCAGTCTCACTGCCTCTAGGTCCTTGTGTTCATTCTCCCTGGCCACATTTCCATCAGTGCACCCTAAATTAAGACAACAGAGGATCAGGTTCTCCCACAGTTTGGGTGCTTAGGGACCAGGAAAGCAAGACCATGGTTGGTTTAGTAGCAAGCTCTGTGGAATCATATAGACTACAAAGAGTCAACCAATATTGCCTTGTCTTCACAGCCGGAAAACAGCCCCAGAAACGTAATGAGTACTGGCTAACAGTAGTATAAAAAATAGTATAAATACTATATTATATTAAAATATCCTATATAGTACTATATGTTTCTTTTGAACTTTTCACATATATTAATACATGTAGTATAGTGATTATATATATATATACACACACACACACACACACACGCCATACAGTAGTGCTAATACAATCTTATTACAGGATTTGGAATATGAATAATGGGAATATGAATAAATGGGTTCAAGTGCAGGACTTGCCCAGTGCAAACTACCAACTTCTTTGAACTTCAGACTTCACATGTCTAAGACTGAGATCTTAGTACCTAGTACCTGGCAGGGCTACTGCCAGGATTAAGTGAGATCATTCAGATGGGAACGCTTGGTTTACAATAAAGTACCAGTCAAGTGCTAGTTATTTCTATTATTTCGTATTTCTCCAGAAAGTATATTGTTACATCAAAATGGTAGAGCAGCTCACGAGCCAACTCTTTTTCAAGAAGGTTTAATCTTGAGGTCCTTGCAAGGGCTCAGGATTTGAATGTTGTACCACAAGGTGGTGCTAGACACTAGATGTTTTTATTGGCCTTCTACTCCCATCTTAATTAGTTACATAGTGTTCGTTTTTTATTGTTATTGAAGAGCATGGGAAATATTTATTACAAACGTGTTTTCTAGATCAATTTATAAGCTCATAAGATCAATCCCATCTTAGTTATATAGTGTCCATTTTTTAATTGTCATTGAAGAGCATAGAAAATATTTATTACAAATGTGTTTTCTAGATCAACTCGTGAGCTCATAAGATCAGTTTTGGCCTCACTGGAGATTAGAAAGCAAGGGTGCTTTTACCCAATGTTCAGTCTGCTTTGCCTACTGAAGGTATTTGCTTTCAGTTAAATCTGGGAAGCATTTTAAGGTAATGTGTGTGATGGGCTCAAAAGGTGTCTACAAGGTCCCCGGGATGCTGGGGAGCATGAATATGGGCTGGACACCAATCAAGGGTCCTAATTTTTTTTTCCTATGAGTAAATACCCCTTTGTACTTTCCTATCCCCAAATGGTTTTGTGGAATTGCTTTTTAATGTTGTTTGGAATTAAGGCCAAAGCAGAGAAGAGACTGCAGTACAGATAATTGTCTGCCTCACGCAGATATTATTTATAGCTATCTTTGATAGCATTTGATTCCCTATTTCACAGTTGTCAACCGAGGAAGGGAAAATTGTGAAATGAGTAAACCAAGAGTATTTTGCAGAGCCATGTTCTCTACTGGGGAGCAGACATTTCTCACAAATTTAAGTAAGTTCTGCTACTGAAACCAAATGTTTTATTAAAAAAAAATTAGTAGGGCACAGTAGCACATGCCTGTAGTCCCAGCTACTTGGGAGGCTGAGGCAGGAGAATCACTTGAGGCCAGATGTTCAAGACTATAGTGTACTGTGATCTCACCTGGGAATAAACCAGCCACTGCACTCCAGCCTGAGAACATAACAGAACCCTGTCTTTAAAATAAATAAATAAATAAACATTGTAAAATAAGGACAGGGCAAGGTGGCTTATGCCTTTAATCCCAGCACTTTGGGAGGCGAGGCAGGCGGATCACCTGAAGTCAGGAGTTCGAGACCAGCCTGGCCAACATGGTGAAGCCCTGTCTCTACTTAAAAAAAATAGTAATAATAAAATAAAGTAAAATAAATTAGCTGAGCATGATGGTGCGCGTCTGAAATCTGAGGCAGGTGAATTGCTTGAACCTGGGAGGCGGAGGTTGCAGTGAGCCGAGATCGCATCACTGTACTCCAGCCTAGGTGAAGAGCAAAACTCCGTCTCAAATAAGTAAAATAAATTAGAAGTTTTTCACTTTTCCTTCCTGTCCTTCTCAAATGTGTGGCATTTCATTAAATTGTGTTCAATGGGTACCAACTGGGTGCAGGGCACTCTGGGGTCACTGTGGCTGGAGTGCAGGGTAGGGGTGAGGGGATAGTGTGGGTATCAGAGGCATTTGAACCACAGCAACTCCATTTTGAATAGGGACTGAGTAGA